AGAACACTTACTGTACCAGGGACTGTCAGAAGAACAAGCATAGCTATGCTGGAAGAAGTACAGCTAGAAGGTGCCTCAGAAACCAGGATGGCCACGATCATACTTCAGATATGTTATCATGAGGGGCCATTTCCTGGAGAAGGACATTATGCTTGGTAAAATGGAGGGTCAGAAAAAAGATGAAGCCCCCCAACAAGAGAGCAGCAGAATGGGCTCAAGTGTAACATCAATTATGAGGATGGCACACAGAGCCACTCTGAAGTTGGAACCAACTCAATGGCACCTAACAACAACAAAAGAGCAAATATTTCTGAGACCAAGAAATCTAATTTAGGAAAGAAAATTGGGAAAAATATTCCTATTAACTCTCTATAGCAGTCTGCACTTCCCCTATGCTAAGATTTAACATATTTTGTACAGTTTGTTCAGTCACCTGTCTCATTAGTTATAATGTAAGCTCAAGGAGAACAAGAGCTAGTTACTGTGTATTTCCAGTTTCTAGGATTGTGCACAGTACACCACTGGTAATAAAAAAATTGCTAATACATACATAAACGAATGAGTCCAGTGATCTTACCTGGTATTTAGGACACTGGTCTTTCACATCAGAAGATGAAGTTACAGAACTATCCAAAGAGGAAGAACTATCTCCTCCAGGTTTCAGTTGACAGCACTTCCCAAAGACTTTAACTTGAGCATCACTACAGAGTTTCTGAAATACAGACATTATTCACATTTATAGTTTATACATTTTCCACCATATACAAATTCAATCAAATGTAAAAAACAGTGGAAAAAACAAGGATAAAGTAACTCAAAATAATGAACACTTAAATTTTACTGTACTTCCTCTAGTCCCTTTTTCTGTAATTTGTTTCATAATTATAATACTATTTATAGAGGACTTCTCACCAACATCATTTCATCATGGGAATATTCCTATATTGCTGGCCCACACTGTGTATTAATAGTGACTTCATAATTTATTGTAGCAGCTTTCACGTCCTTTACTTTCAAAATCTCTTTATGATATTAAACAATTATTGAGGACCCAAATAATCTCTTATTTACATGTTGCTGTTGCTAAGTGCCATCCAGTTAGTTTAGACTTACAGTTACTCGTATAGGGTTTCCAAGGAGTGGTTAGTGAGTTTGAACCACTGACCTCACGCTTCAAACTGACCTTTTATGCACTTATATCAAAAATTAAAATTGAAATATCAAAATTTAATAGTTGGTACATAAATGTAATAGTGTTATTAATTGGTGTTCCTTGTAGACTTACGGATATTGACCTATCACAGACAGCATTGTATTTCAAGATAGATTTTGAAATGGTCTTTTTGACAATATATGCAATGTTATTGCTCTTCAATTTGTTGTTCCCAGCATAGTAAACTATATCATTATCTGTTTCAAAACTCCCAGTACCAGTCCGTTTCAGCTTTCTATGCTTAAGGTGTAGATCTCTATGCATTCCATTTCAATTTTGATCGCTTCCATAGTTAGTAGATTCATAATTAGTACATTTCCTGTCCTGATTATTAGTGGATATTTGTAGTGGTTTCTTCCCATTTTTAGTTGTACCACATCAGTGAAAAAATATCTCAAAAGCGTTATTTCTTCCATGTCCATGTTGGTAGAATTCTACCAACTTCTTCACGGAGCGTGGTGGCTCTATAGGATAAATACTAGATGCGACCACAAGTTCAAGCCCACCAGTCACTACATGAGAGAAAGATAAGGCTTTCTGCTCCAACAAAGATTTACCACCTCAGAAAACCTACAGAGTTGCTAT